GGTATGCAAGCAGACCCAGAGCACTCGCACTTGCCAGGGCCTGCAGCCGAGTAACCCTTACTATAGAGTAAGAGGTGCTCGGTTGTAGCCTTGGTGGGTGCAGGTGCTTCTTACATGCCACACACACTCTTTTCTTGGAAAGAGAATGCCTGTATGGTGTGAAGGCAGACCCAGAGCACTCACACTTGCCAGGGCCTGCAGCCGAGAGGTGCTCGGTTGTAGCTTTGGTGGGTCCAGGTGCTTCTACATGACACACACAGTCTCTTCTTGGAAAGAGAATGCCTGTGTGGTGTGCAGGAAGGGCCAGAGCACTCACACTTGCCATGGCCTGCAGCTGAGTACCCCTTTCTATAGAGTAAGAGGCGCTCTGTGGTAGCCTTGGTGGGTGCAAGTGCTTCTACATGCCACACACACTCTCTTCTTGGAAAGAGAGTGCCTATGGGGTGTGCAGGCAGGTCCAGAGTACTCACACTTGCCAGGGCCTGCAGCTGAGTGCCCCTTACTATAGAGAGCTCTGTTTTAGGCCCTGGCAGGCGCAGGTACTTCTGCATGCCACACATGCCCTCTCCTTGGAAAGAAAATGCCTGTATGGTGTGAAGGCAGGTCCAGACCACCTGCACTTGCCAGGGCCTGCAGCCAAGCACCCCTTTCTATAGAGTAAAAGGTGCTCAGTTGTAGCGTTAGTGGGTACAAGTGCTTCTACATGCCACACACACTCTCTTCTTGGAAAGAGAGTGCCTGTGTGGTGTGCAGGCAGGCCCAGAGCACTCACACTTGCCAGGGCCTGCAGCTGAGTGCCCCTTAGTATAGAGTAAGAGGTGCTCGGTTGTAGCCTTGTGGCTGCAGGTGCTTCTACACAACACACACACACTCTCATTGGAAAGAGAGTGCCTGTGTGGTGTGCAGGCAGGCCCCGAGAGCCTGCACTTGCCAGGGGCTGCAGCCAAGTGCCCCTTACTATAGAGTGAGAGGTGCTCGGTTATGGGGTTATGGGCCCTGGCGGGTGCAGGTACTTCTACACACTACACATGCACTCTCCGTTGAAAGAGAATTCCTGTGTGGTATGCAGGCAGGCCCAGAGCACCCACACTTGCCAGGGCCTATAGCTGAGAGCCCCTTACTAAAGAGTAAGAGGTGCTCAGTTGTAGCCTTGGTGGGTGCAAGTGCTTCTACATGCCACACACACACTCTTGTTGGAAAGAGAGTGCCTGTGTGGTGTGCAGGAAGGGCCAGAGCACTCACACTTGCCAGGGCCTGCAGCTGAGTGCCCCTTAGTATAGTGTAAGAGGTGCTCAGTTGTAGCCTTGGTGGGTCCAGGTGCTTCTTACATGCCACACACACTCTTCTTGGAAAGAGAATGCCTGTATGGTGTGAAGGCAGACCCAGAGCACCTGTACTTGCCAGGGCCTGCAGCCGAGTGCCCCTTACTATAGAGCAAGAGGTGCTTGGTTGTAGGTCCTGGCAGGCAGAGGTGCTTCTGCATGCCAGACATGCACTTGCCAGGGCCTGCAGCTGAGTGCCTCTTACTCTGTGATGCCGAAAAGCAAGCCAGGACCCGCTCCTGATGGCTTTCATGTTGAGCTGATTTTGGTAGCAAGGGAGACTTTCCTATTTCGTGCTCCCAAAGGAATGAAAGACACGAAAGAAACAAAGGAAATGGGAGAAACAAGTTCCACGCACAACTCTATGCTGCAGGATATCCCACTACCACAAGCTATGTTGAATTGGCTGTGATTCAATGAGATATTTATTGAAAGAGTATAGGAAAATATGCTTCAGGATGTCTCTTTGCAAAAACAAAGTTTGTGCAATTTAGTAAACATAGAATCATAGAATTATAGAATCAAGGAGTTGGAAGAGACCTCATGGGCCATCCAGTCCAACCCCATTCTGCCAAGAAGCAGGAATGTTGCATTCAAAGCACCCCTGACAGATGGCCATCCAGCCTCTGTTTCAAAACTTCCAAAGAAGGAGCCTCCACCACACTCCGGGGCAGAGAGTTCCACTGCTGAACGGCTCTCACAGTCAGGAAGTTCTTCCTCGTGTTCAGGTGGAATCTCCTCTCTTGTAGTTTGAAGCCATTGTTTTCCATATTGTTATGATAGAACCAATGAGGAAATGGCATTTATCACCCAGGAACAAAAATAGTGTGACATAGTGTTATAGCTGTTTTTGCACCAAAGTTCCTCCATGTATGTCCCTTTTTTCCTGCCATAAGAGCAAAGCACATATTCTGGCTTGTGCATACTGGTTTAGCACATTTAATGCAATAGCTAGACATTCCTGCTGTCTGTCTTATTAGGTTTATATCAAAATGATGCATGTGGCGTTATCCGACCACGCCAGGAGCAGTTTTTCCCATCACAAAGGACTTTCCATTTTCTCCAAGGAATGTTAGCAAGAGAAAGAGGTCCCAAACATGGACATTTGATCTAGGTTTTCGCACTCGGGCCTGGGATGCATCAGGCGAGGTGTTGACAGTCCTTGGGGACCGATGGAGCCGGTGGCTTTGAAGCTCCGAGGCAGAAATGCCAAGTATGGAGCTGTGAGGAAGGCGTCCAACTGGATGGCAATTCGAAGCATGCGGAACATTTGAGAAAGGCGTGACAGCCCTATCCAGGCATGACTTCCCTTTATTCCAATGGCACGGCAAGGTTTCAGATGCCCAATCTTTGCATAGAGATTTATTTTGCAACTACATGGTAGAGTTAATGCAGTTTGACACCACTTGAGCCACCATAGCTCAATGCTCCAGGAAGCTGGGATTTGTAGCTTTTCGAGGCTGAAATCCTCCTTTGGTGTCTCATCAAGCGACAACTCTCAAGCAGGTTACAGCACAACTGAAACACATTTATGTTTCCATGACATTGAGCCATGTTTGCCAAGTGGCACCAAACTGCATTGATTTCATAGTGTGGAGGCACCCAAACTCATACAGGGATTTCCTTTCAAATGTGTCACTTTTCTCACAAGTAATATTCTCCCGTCCAGAACGTGTCTGTTGTGCTTTGGCAGACTACACTACGTAACCAAATTAGAAAAACATTCTGTTCCTGGTTTGAAAGTGTTACTTCCTCTTTAATTGTGCGGTCCTTACTTTGAAAGTAGTTGTTATAATCCAGAAACTTTGTTTTTGTGGCACAAACTAGGTTGAATTGGATGAAATATTCATTGGAAAACTATAGCAAAATGTGCTTCAGGATGTCTCTTTGCAAAAACAAAGTTTTAGCAATTTTATTATTTTTCCCCATGTTTTTATGATAGAAACAATTAGGAAATGATATTTATAAACCGGAACAAAAATCCTGATACATAGTGCTATTTGTCCCACAATCATAGCATGTGTTGGCAAAGGCTTTCATGGCCAAAATCACTGGGTTGCTGTGAGTTTTCCAGGCTGTGTTGCCATGTTCCAGAAGCATTCTCTCCTGACGTTTCACCCACATCTATGACAGGAATCCTCAGAGGTTGTGAGGACTGTTGGAAACAAGGCAAGTGGGGTTGATATACACATATCTGTGGAATAATGTCCAGGGTGGGAGAAAGAATCTCTCTGTTGGAGGCACATGTGAATGTTGCCATTGGCCACCTTGATTAGCATTGAATGGGGCACCACAACTGAAGAGAGATATTGACAAGCTGGAATGTGTCCAGAGGAGGGCGACTAAAATGATCAAGGGTCTGGAGAACAAGCCCTATGAGGAGCGGCTTAAGAGCTGGGCATGTTTAGCCTGAAGAAGAGAAGGCTGAGAGGAGATATGATGAGCCATGCATAAATATGTGAGGGAAGTCATAGGGAGGAGGGAGCAAACTTGTTTTCTGCCCTGGAGACTAGGACACAAACAATGGCTTCAAACTACAAGAAAGGAGATTCCATCTGAACATGAGGAAGAACTCCCTTACTGTGAAAGCTGTTCAGCAGTGGAACTCTCTGCCCTGGAGTGTGGTGGAGGCTCTTTCTTTGGAAGCTTTTAAACAGAGGCTGGATGGCCATCTGTCAGGGGTGATTTGAATGCAATATTCCTGCTTCTTGGCAGAATGGGGTTAGACTGGATGGCCCAGGAGGTCTCTTCCAACTCTAGGATTCTATGATTCTATGATTCTATGAATGGCCTTGCAGCTTCAAAGCCTGGCTGATTGCTGCCTGGGGTAATCCTTTGTTGGAAGGTGTTAGCTGGCCCTGATTGATTCTTGTCTGGAATTCCCTTGTTTTTTTAGTATTCTTCTTTATTTACTGCCCTGATTTTAGAGGTTTTTTTAATACTGGTGACCAGATGTTTTTCTGTTCCATGGTTTCCTCCTTTTTGTTGACGTTGTCCACATCTTGTGGATTTCAATGGCTCCTCTGTGTAGCTTGACATGGTGGTTGTGAGAGCGGTCCAGCATTTCCGCGTTCTCAAATCATATGCTGTGTCCAGGTTGGTTCCTCAGGTGCTCTGCTATGGCTGACTTCTCTGGTTGGATTAGTCTGCAGTGCCTTTCACTTGCCTTGTTTCCAACAGACCTCACAACCTCTGAGCAAGCCTGCCATAGATGTGGGTGAAACATCAGGAGAGAATGCTTCTGGAACATGGCCAGACAGCCCTGAAAACTCACAGCAACCCAATCATAGCATGGCTTGCATGCATCACTAACATGTTGTTCAATATCATAAGCTGGATTTGTGTTGTACATTATGCAACTTCATACTTACTTAGCTACCTTGCAAAAGTGCTAGGTTTATGCATTGTGAAGATACATGAATGGGGCACTAGCATGATGTCTTGATGTGGATCAGGCCCTATTCATGTGCATTAGTCCCTATGCAAAATAGTCCTAATGCACATCAGTCCCAAGGCACATGGGCCATTTCACAGACTCCCCCATACGGCAATGAGAAAACAGCCCTTTACATGCGGATATTACGGAACCGCTCCGGTCTCATTTCCAGCAAACATACATTCCAGTTATGAAGATGTACATTCTAAATAGGATTTCAGCGATCCATTTTATTTCTAGCATGGAGATAACTCTTTCAGAGAAAAGGCAGTAAGAAATGTCAACTTGCAATGCAAGAGGTGAGTGTCACCATTTCCAAAGCATTCCTCCCACATTCCAGAAAGTGGGGAAGGTCAAATAGAGAAGGGAGTCACAACAATAACAATGCAATTCGAAAACGATCAGAATGAGAGAGAGGGGCTTCGCAGTAACCTTCACGGAGCTGCATGAAACGGAAACCATTTCCAGTCATTGCTTGCTTTGCTTCTCCACTTCCAGCTCTTTCCGGATGTCGGAGACCTCCCTGGGGACATGGAGGGTCAAGCCGTCCATCCACTTCTTGACATGGACCTGGCAACCCAGGCGGGACCTGAAAAGAAAGCCAAGAGCGTGAATTTGCAGCAGAGGAATCCCACTCTTACAGCCAGGGTTTGAATCCTGGGCTTGGCCACAGGAAACCAAACCTTCATAGAATCCTAGAATCCTAGAGTTGGAAGAGACCTCCTGGGCCATCCAGTCCAACCCCATTCTGCCAAGAAGCAGGAATATTGCATTCAAATCACCCCTGACAGATGGCCATCCAGCCTCTGTTTCAAAGCTTCTAAAGAAGGAGCCTCCACCACACTCCGGGGCAGAGAGTTCCACTGCTGAACGGCTCTCACAGTCAGGACCTTCTTCCTCATGTTCAGATGGAATCTCCACCACAGCAGAGAGTTCCACTGCTGAACGAGCTCTCACAGTCAGGAAGTTCTTCCTCATGTTCAGGTGGAATCTCCTCTCTTGTCGTTTGAAGCCATTGTCCATTGCGTCCTAGTCTCCAGGGAAGCAGAAAACAAGCTTGCTCCCTCCTCCCTGTGGCTTCCTCTCACATATTTATACATGGCTACAGGCATGTAGCCGGGGGGGGGGGGGGGGGGGGCTTGAGGGGCTTCAGCCCCCCCCCGAAATTCTCATGGTGGTTCACAAAAAGGCCTTACTGGTGCATTATTTAAACTGTTATGTTTATTCATATCATGATCTGATCACCATACTCAATATATCCCATATGCATGGGGGTATTGAGGTAACAATACAAAAGGTTTGCTAGGGTAGACCCTCTTTCACTCAGACTCAGCCCCCCCGCCCCCCCCCCACCAAACCCAACCCCCCCCCCCCCCACCCCCGATTTTTAGCCCCCCCCCCCCCCCCACCCCCCCCCCCCCCCCCCCCACCACCCCCCCCGAAACGAAATCCTGGCAGCGGGCCTGAATGGCTATCATATCCTCTCAGCCTTCTCTTCTTCAGGCTAAACATGCCCCAGCTCTTTAAGCCGCTCCTATAGGGCTTGTTCTCCAGACCCTTGATCATTTTAGTCGCTCCTCCTCTGGACACATTCCAGCTTGTCAATATCTCTCTTGAATTGTGGTGCCCAGAATTGGACACAATATTCCAGGTGTGGTCTAACCAAAGCAGAATAGAGCATGGGGAGCATTACTTCCCTGGATCTAGACACTATGCTCCTATTGATGCAGGCCAAAATCCCATTGGCTTTTTTTGCCGCCACATCACATTGTTGGCTCATGTTTAACTTGTTGTCCACGAGGACTCCAAGATCTTCACACGTACTGCTCTCGAGCCAGGCGTCCCCCATTCTGTATCTTTGCATTTCGTTTTTCCTGCCAAAGTGGAGTCTTGCATTTGTCACTGTTGAACTTCATTTTGTTAGTTTTGGCCCATCTCTCTAATCTGTCAAGATCGTTTTGAATCCTGCTCCTGTCCTCTGGAGTATTGGCTCTCCCTCCCAATTTGGTGTCGTCTGCAAACTTGATGATCCTGCCTTCTAACCCTTCATCTAAGAAGTCATGAATGAAGATCCTGAGCAGGACCGGGCCCAGGAGGGAACCCTGCTTGTGGCACTCCACTTGTCACTTCTTTCCAGGAAGAATAGGAGGAAGCCTTGGGGAGAATCACCCTCTGGGTTCGTCCATTTAACCAATTCCAGATCCACCTCACCGTAGTTTTGCCTCGCCCACATTGGACTAGTTTCCTTGCCAGGAGGTCATGGGGGACCTTGTCGAAGGCCTTCCTGAAATCCAGGTACATTACATCCACGGCATTCCCCGCATCTTTGATGCATCACACTCTCTTGGCCTCAAGGGAAACACTTTCTGGACAAATCCCACCAAGAAAACCTTGTGACAGGGTTGTCGTAAGTTGGAAACAACTTTGAAGGCACAACAATGGATCCCAACAGGGTGTCAACTCCCCAATCTGTTTACTGGGAGTTTCCGAAATAAGGAGCAGGGTTCTGTTTTCGTTCTGGTAAGATTTGAAATGAAATCTTACCGGCTTGTCATTTTTAGGCTTATCGGCATGGAACTTGCCTCAGTTGTAGGCCACATTTATGACTACAAGTCTGCCAAGTTTTGGAATGTTTCACCAATCCACTCATTTTTGGGAAATTTTTAAAGCAGCCGAATCCCCCGAGTCCCCCAAATCCAATACACTCAGATGATGTCATGCACATCCCTAGTGCCAACCAATACTTCCTGGAAATTGTAAAATTATACTGCACTTTAAAACAACAACAACAATTGGTTCTGATTTGGACTCAGAATCCATTCTTGATGGAGAGAGATGGAAGGAGAAAGGTTCCTCACGTGTCTGTCAGGCCAAAAGCCAGGTCCAGCATGTCCAGCTCTTCCTCGCTGACGGCGCCCAGTTTTCGGAAAGCCTCTTCTTCAAAGATGAGGTGGCAAGTGGAGCAAGCGAGGGTCCCTTCGCACGCACCTTTGGGAGAATGGATACAAAGGGCTCATTGTATTTTTTAAGCATTGTCCATAGGCATTTCACCACAACCAAGCTGGAAAACGTCTAGACCAGGCATGGACAATCTTGGGCCTTCCCTCTGGGTGTTTTGGAGTTCAGCTCACACAATTCCTAACAGTCTTGGGCCCTTTCCTTTCCCTCCTCAGCTGCTTAAGCTGTTAGGAATTGTGGGAGTTGAAGTCCAAAACAACCGGAGGGAAGGCCCAAGTTTGCCCATGCCTTATGCTATTGTCTATGTGATTTATTTTTAAATGCATGTATTGTTATTGCTTGTATTGTTGTATAGTGGGCTCGGCCTCATGTGAGCCACACCAAGTCCCTTGGGGAGATGGTAGCAGGGTATAAATAAAGTATTATTATTATTATTATTATTATTATTATTATTATTAGGCCCAAGTTTGCCCATGCCTGGTCTAGACATAAAGGTTGTCGAGACTTATGGCGAATACTGCGGTGGGTTAAACTGCTGAGCTGCTGAACTTGCTGATTGAAAGGTCACAGGCTCGTATCCGGGGAGCGGTGTGAGCTCCCGCTGTCAGCCCCAGCTTCTGCCAACCTAGCAGTTCGAAAACATGCCAATGTGAATAAATCAATAGGTACCGCTCTGGCGGGAAGGTCACAGCACTCCATGAAGTCATGCTGGCCACATGACCTTGGAGGTGTCAACACTGGCTTAGAAATGGAGATGTGCACCAGAGTCCCAGAGTCGAACACAACTGGTCTTAATGTCAGGCAAAATCCTTTATCTTACCTTCTTGACATTATGTCCTCTCCATAAACTGAAATGATCTCATGATAAATTGCAGCGGTGTTCATGCCCTTAACATTTAGGAAGCGTATTACAGCACAAAGTTTGCATTTGGAGGGAAACGGAATAAGGACGCTCATCTTTAACCTTCACGACAACACCAGTCGATGAGCTACTGACGACTGGCACTGCTCGTTCACTTCCACTGGCTTCTTGCTACACAGCAGTGAGAGCAACTTCCCCCAAGAAAATTTGGAACCTTACTTTCCAGATAATCCTCTGTTCCTGGTTCGAAAGGGTTATTTTTGTTTTAATTATGCAGTCCTTACTTTGAAGGTAAGGTACCACTCCAGAGGGAAGTCATGCAGTCATGGCCATGCAGTCATGCCGGCCACATGACCTTGGAGGTGTCTACGGACAACACCGGCTCTTCGGCTTAGAAATGGAGATGAGCACCAACCTCCAGAGTTGGACATGACTGGACTTAATGTCAGGGGAAAACCTTTACCTTTACCTAACAGGATTTGGGGAAGGATCTCCAAGTGGCTGCAAATTGGTTCTCTTTAACGTTGGCAATTAACATTCAGTATGATTTGCTGCCATCTTCTGGATTTGTTGCACGCTGCACATCGCAGGCATCCCATCCGAAGGAGAGAGCAATGCAACCCAAAGGGACAAAGCAGAGGGAAACTCACTTTGGGGAACTACAACTCCCAGAATCTCTCTCTGATGGGTTGTGGGATTTGAAATCCCCAAAATAGTACTTCCCATGTTCTGTAAAAGGATATAGGCTTCATTTGGTTCACCTATAAGACTATAAGGGAATGAATTTGCTAGCCTCTCGGCCTGTTTGCTAGCCATGCCAACTTTGCCAGGAATCCTGTTTCAGTCTTGACTAGTGGTGCATCTACACTTTGGACTGAATGCCATTCAACATCACTTTAATGCAATGGAATGATGGGATTTGCACCTTGAGGAGCCACCAGAAGAGAAAGCAAAAGACCTTGCAAAACTATAATTCCCAGGACCGCAGAGTACTGAGCGTAGCATCAAGCTGCATTCATTCTACAGAGTAGATGCACCCTAGGATAGAGTCATTGAATCCATCTCACAGCGTGTTGCCGGACCACTCAGTGATTGATCTAATGGGATCTAGTTGGGAGATATGCACAGGATCCCATATTCCTTACAGAGTTTGGAAACTTCCCAAGACAAACTGACCAGACTCAAGACCTGTCCATCTTGAATCTGACTGTATATTATGGCCAAGGAAAACAAAGCAAGGTGATAGATGTGGCTTACCAAAGCCATCGATGCTGAGGTTCTGATTGACCACCACTTCCAGCAAACTCTCCCCTTCCTTGGCGGCGACAGAGAACTTCTCTCCATTTCGGTTGATAAAATGGAGCTGGACCTTCTCCGGAGAAGTCAGCGATGAAGGATGAGAGGAGCTGGGGAACATTCCAGGTAAAAGAGAGGCACAATGGTTATGTTCACAAATGTAGAATGATGAGAAGAATACTCCAAAAATATAAGCTGAGGACAAAGTGGTGGAGGAGAAGAGGAGCTGGGACTGTTGGGAAAGTAGGAAGGCGGAGGACTCATTGAGATGGTATCCAAAGGGAATTTCAGGTCGAAAGCAAGCTACTTTTTATGCTTTCAGCTCAATTTGCAGCACTTGAAGAAAGCTGAGGGCCATAGAGGAGGATTGAGGAACTGGGACTATTTAGAAGTAGTTGGGAAAGTGGGAATGCAGAGGAGTAATGCTTTCCAAATCAGGACTGCTGGAGAGTATTAATGCAACAATCTATATTATCTCCACACACTTTTTCTCTCTTTTCTTTGAATTAAGGCAAACCAAACCCTGTATTTTATAAATCTCCATCATCTGCTGTCTTTTACTTTACAGTCCTGGATTCTCCTTTTGTCTGAAATTGTTTTTCTACCTTACACTATGTAACACAGTTTTTGTTCCTGGGTTATGAATGCCATGTCTTCATTGGTACTGTTGTAAAAACATGGGGAAAGTTTATTAAACTGCAAAAACTTTCTTTTGGTGGTCTGCACATTGAAAGGTTTCAAAAAGGCATATTTTCACCAAGGAACATTTACAAACTTTTGGGTTTCAGGTAATAAAAGGATAAAAGGCAATATTATATCTCAAACCAACCATATATTTTTACCAAAATACTACAAATGGATGAAAATGAGCCTAGAAGTGTGTCATTTTGTGAGATTTCTGAGGGTAGCTATGTCAGATTTCATGGATTAGTCCCCAAATGTAATCCCCCATTTCCACTTGCGAAACATGGATGGTCTACAGACATTATACACAACTCCTGGAAAGTTTCCATCAGCGTTGCCTCTGAAAAATCCTGCAAATCTTTCTCTCACCCTGGACATCATTCCACAGATACATAAACCCAGCCATCCTCTGAGGATGCCTGCCATAGATGTAGATGAAACATCAGGAGAGAATGCTTCTAGAACCTGGCCATATAGCCTGGAAAACCTACAACAACCCAGATTTCAAACTATTATTAAACCACCCTAAGAAAACAAAGGTCTTCAATAAGATGCTTACCCTGTGTCGCTGGGGACGTCTTGAAGCCTGCAAGTGGAGCTGAACCTTCTCCTTGGAGGCAATGCTGAAAGAGCTTGTTGTTGGTGAGCCATCCCAAAGGAGGAGAGGCCTCGAACCCTCTGCAGTGAGCGCCCCAGTCCTTGGACCAGCTTGGAGAAGCGGAGAGGCATCTTCTGCTGTCTCCTGTTCTTCAAGGACTGATGGATGAAATGCAGTCAGCTGGAGAGATGTTATAAGCCCAGCTGGGTGAACGGGAGGACAGCCCTCGGCCTTGGAAGAGGGGGAAATGCACCCTCCCACCATCCAAGGAGGGGAGATCTCCTCTCTGGGTCCCAATTGCAGAAGAGTCCTAGCACTCTGGAAGCAAAACCAGGAGAAAGGGATGGCTGGAAGGGCCTTCTCATCCATCACTCCCTTGTCAATGGGGCCTTGACACTGTCAGGAAGAGAAACGATGGATGTTGTGGTCTGCAAAATTATCTCCCTGTTCCGAGGGGTGCCATAAGCTACGACCAATGTGACAGTGCATAAGGACAACAACTTGCCAAATGTGGCATTGGTACATTTGGAGCACAATTACCTTTCCCTTGGTGACATCAGTTAGACTAGCACAGATTTCACACTTTCACAACAACATAACAACAACAATTTTATTTCTTCTTGGGGAGGGTTATAGGATAATTAAAACACACAAACATTGCAAAATTTCTATAAATATACATATTTCTATAAAAGATACATATTAAAACGTATTTCAATATGGACTGATGGGCTATGTTTCAGTCTCTTTTAATGTTTAGAGGTTGTATGTTCTAAATTGTATTTTTTTAGTGTGTTTGCATTTTGTTTTAAAACAGGTATGTGGGATATAAATACATTCTATTATTATTATTATTATTATTATTATTATTATTATTAGTCATGTCATAGTAGTAGTAGTACAAAGGAGCCATCTAAGACCCCTTCTACACTGCCATATAAAATCCAGATTGTCTGCTTTGAACTGGATTGTAAGGCAGTGTAGAACCATACAATCCAGTTCAAAGCAAAGAATCTGGATTATCTATTTTGATAAACTGGGTTATATGACCGTGTAGAAGGGGCCTAAGATCATACATACCCAGCTCCTTTCATGTGCAGACTTCGGGTGCATCTACACTGTAGAATTAATGCAGTTTGACACCACTTTAACAGCTATGGGATCCTGGCAGAATGTAAATAAGCACAACAACAACAATTAGTCCTAGACACTTGGGAAGTATCCGACACGTAATCCAATGCAGAAGCCAGCATAGTGCTCTTGTTTGCTGTGTACTAATCTTGTTGTGTATCTAATAATAATAATAATAATAATAATAATAATAATAATAATAATAATAATAAAACATCAAGTGCTTTAAAAACCATCACACAGTCCTAGATGCCTGGGAAATGTTCAACTTGTGATTTTGTGATGCGAAATCCAGCATATAGATCTCCTTTGCTGTGACATACTGTCTTTTTGTGCTAGTATTTATTTATCGTGTCATCAGCAACCATACCATTGTATTACATTTCTAACAGAACACAACAAACAGAGAAAAAAAGCACAAATTTTGCAAACTTGGTAGTTGGTTAAATGTCCTTTGACCAGTATCTGGCCCCTTGGAGTGCCTCTGGTGTTGCTGCAAGAAGGTCCTCCATGGTGCATGTGGCAGGGCTCAGGGTGCATTGCAGCAGGTGGTCAGTGGTTTGTTCTTCTCCACACTCGCATGTCGTGGATTCCACTTTGTGGCCCCATTTCTTGAGGTTGGCTCTGCATCTCGTGGTGCCAGAGCGCAGTCTGTTCAGCGCCTTCCAAGTCGCCCAGTCTTCTGTGTGCCCAGGGGGAGTCTCTCATTTGGTATCAGCCATTGGTTGAGGTTCTGGGTTTGAGCCTGCCACTTTTGGACTCTCGCTTGCTGAGGTGTTCCAGCGAGTGTCTCTGTAGATCTTAGAAAACTATTTCTAGATTTAAGTCATTGACGTGCTGGCTGATACCCAAACAGGGATGAGCTGGAGATGTCTCTGCCTTGGTCCTTTCACTATTGGCTGCTACTTCCCGGCGGATGTCAGGTGGTGCGATACCGGCTAAGCAGTGTAATTTCTCCAGTGGTGTAGAGCGCAGACACCCCGTGATAATGCGGCATGTCTCATTAAGAGCCACATCCACTGTTTTAGCATGGTGAGATGTGTTCCACACTGGGCATGCATACTCAGCAGCAGAGTAGCACAGCGCAAGGGCAGATGTCTTCACTGTGTCTGGTTGTGATCCCAGGTTGTGCCAGTCAGCTTTCGTATGATGTTGTTTCTAGCGCCCACTTTTTGCTTGATGTTCAGGCAGTGCTTCTTGTAGGTATTTGGGTGCGCTGCAAGACATCTGGGCGTCCCCTGGGCAACGTCTTCATAGACAGCTGATTCTCTCGCCTCAGAAGCAACCAGAAGCAACTTTGTGCTAGTAAAATAATAATAATAATAATAATAATAATAATAATAATAATAATAATAGTTTTGTGAAGCACTCTTTGGCAGAGATAGCCTTGTAAAACCACAGCTCCCAGGACTCCATAGTATTGAGCCATGGCAGTTAATGTCAAACAGCATTCATGTTTGACCCTCAAACACAGTGCAGATTTCCCGTTTGGACTGATGCATTTCTATGCTGCCTGCAAAGTGAGACTCGGGAAACTCCCAGCAACCATTCAATGCCTCCAAGCAGCGTTTGCAGTTTATCTGCTGGAGATCCTTGAATGGAGAGCTGGGAGACGGAGCCAAGGCCAGGCCGAGAGGGCCTCTCTTCTGTCGTCCCTGAAACCGGTAGAAAATTGGCAATGATGCAGGGATGGAGAGTTCCCCATAGGGATGGCCCTGGGAGAGGATTTGGCTTGGCAAAGCAAAGAGGGGCAGCGCTGGAAGAGGGCAGTTGCTTTCCATTGATGGCATGTGCCTCACGTAGGGGTGTGCAAAATGATCACTACTCTTCATATTTCGGATCAAATTCATTAAATTTGTGCATACGAATTGGTATTAGAAACATGCAGGAAAGTTGGGTGGGGGGGATTTAAGAATCAAAACACACACCGATCATTTTCGTTAAGATTCTGTAACATTCAGATGCCTCTCAAAGTCAGTTTAATTTTCAGTATAAGCACTAAGCAACTTTGGTAAAGCCAAGAGAACTTTCTGCTTATAACAACAACAACGACAACAACAAGAAGAAAGGAGATTCCATCTGAACATGAGGAAGAACTTCCTGACTGTGAGAGCCGTTCAGCAGTGGAACTCTCTGCCCTGGAGTGTGGTGGAGGCTCCTTCTTTGGAAGCTTTTAAACAGAGGCTGGATGGCCATCTGTCAGGGGTGATTTGAATGCAATATTCCTGCTTCTTGGCAGGGGGTTGGACTGGATGGCCCATGAGGTCTCTTCCAACTCTGATTCTATGACTCTATAATATAATATAATATAATCATAGAATCAAAGAGTTGGAAGAGACCTCATGGGCCATCCAGTCCAACCCCCTGCCAAGAAGCAGGAATATTGCATTCAAATCACCCCTGACAGATGGCCATCCAGCCTCTGTTTAAAAGCTTCCAAAGAAGGAGCCTCCACCACACTCCGGGGCAGAGAGTTCCACTGCTGAACGGCTCTCACAGTCAGGAAGTTCTTCTCATGTTCAGATGGAATCTCCTCTCTTGTAGTTTGAAGCCATTGTTCCATTGTGTCCTAGAAAACAAGCTTGCTCCCTCCTCCTCCCTTTGGTTTCCTCTCACATATTTATACATGGCTCTCATCATATCTCCTCTCAGCCTTCTCTTCTTCAGGCTAAACATGCCCAGCTCCTTAAGCCGCTCCTCATAGGGCTTGTTCTCCAGACCCTTGATCATTTTAGTCGCCCTCCTCTGGACACATTCCAGCTTGTTAACATCTCCCTTCAGTTGTGGTGCACAGGATTGGACACAGTATTCCAGGTGTAGTCTGACTAAGGAATAGAGGGGTAGCATTATGGGATGGCCAAGAACTCATTGGGATCATTATTGGCAAATTTGAAGAGATCGTGATGTTTTGTGTGTCTGGTATTCGCATTGTTTTCAAAGCCCTGATCCTTTCCAAGCTCAGAGAGTTGCTGAATGGAAAACTACAGCTCTGATTCCTCACGTTTTGAGGCAGGAAAGCTGGCGTTGCCCTCGAAAGACGACGGGAGAAGAATAATGAATCTGGATGATGGCCAGGCCGGGCTCGGTGAAGGACGTTTGCTTGCTTGGCGCAATCCTTGGGAGGCCCAGAAGGTATTTGGGGCTATCCATTCAAAAAGCCTCTGGCTGTCCCATTTGGAAACATTTGCTCAGGAAGAAGATGCGTCAAGGCATGCAAGACTTTGGACATTTCCTCGAAAGTTTAGCCTTTGCATCCCAGTGGATATAAGCTAGCAGAAATCTCCCCAAATCAGAGGAATGCACCCCTAAATCAGCAGAAACTTAGCCGAAGGTCCATACAACGTCCAATTGCAATGAATACAGGAAAAGCAGTGGTGCAACGAGAGCGAAAGCTTTTCTCCTTCTCCGAGAAATTGCTCAATGCCTTCAGCAGCTGGTTGAAACCAAAATAGCCCATCAATAGCACTACGTAACACAACTTTTGTTCCTGGGTTATAAATGTCATTTCCAAATTGGTTCTATCATGAAAACATGGGAAAGGTTTCTTAAACTGCAAAAACTTTGTTTTTGCGGGACATCCTGCAGTACATTTTGTTATAGTTTTTCAATGAGCATCTCCTCATCAAGTCTCAACCATAGAATCCTAGAATCAAAGAGTTGGAAGAGACCTCCTGGGCCATTCAGTCCAACCCCATTCTGCCAAGAAGCAGGAATATTGCATTCAAATCACCCCTGACAGATGGCCATCCAGCCTCTGTTTCAAAGCTTCCAAAGAAGGAGCCTCCACCACACTCCGGGGCAGAGAGTTCCACTGCTGAACGGCTCTCAAGTCAGGAGTTTTAGAATCATAGAGTTGGAAGAGACCTCATGGGCCATCCAGTCCAACCCCTCTGCCAAGCAGGGAAATTGCATTCAAAGCACCCCTGACAGATGGCCATCCAGCCTCTGCTTAAAAGCCTCCAAAGAAGGAGCCTCCACCACACTCCGGGGCAGAGAGTTCCACTGCTGAACAGCTCT